GGGATGATCAGGCCGGCAGGGGAGCTGTTAGTGGGCGATCAGGGTGGCAGGCTGAAGCAGTTAGGGGCAATCAGGCAGGCACGCAGGTGAGTGGTTAGGAGACAGCAGTCCAGGATTGTGAAAGGGATGTCCAACTGCCGGTTTAGGCCCAATCCTGGCAGTCGGACATCCTGGGATCAGGCCTAAACCAGCAGTCAACATCCCCCAAAGGGTCCAAGATTGGAGAGGGTGCAGGCTGGACTGAGGGACACCCTCCTCCTCCTGTGCACGAATTTCATGCACTGGGCCACTAGTCCTATCTAATAAAAGAGAAACATGGTAATTGGTGTAAAACCGCTACCCTTCCCATGGGCGAATCAGGGCAATATGCAAATTAACTGTCAGCCAAGATGGCAGCCGACAGCCAGGCAGCTTGAAGCGAACATGAGGCTTGCTTGCTTCAGTGACGGAGGACTCCAACGTTCCCCGCCTGCCGCTGCAGGCCTCTGAGCTGGCAGTTTGAACATTGTAGCAAATATAGAAGTTAAAAAAAAAACCAGAAACCTACAGCTTCAGCCAGCCCGGTCGCAACATTGTAAGCAAAGGCCAGAAACCTACTTTCAGCAGCAGAGGCCTAAGAGCTGGAGCCAAGCCTCAAAGCTAATGCTGGCCCAGAATAAAAAGAAAAGAAAAAAAGGAGCAGTTGGGAGCTTCAGTCACCCCCAGCCTGAAAAGAGCCCTCAGCCCCTCACCCAGACTGGCCAGGCACCCCTGTGGGGACTCCCACCCTGAAGGGTGTGTGACCAGCTGCCAACAGCCATCATCCCCTCACCCAGGCTAGCCAGGCACCCCAGTGGGGACCCCCACCCTGATCCAGGACACCTTTCAGGGCAAACCAGCCGGCCCCACCCATGCACCAGGTCTCTACCCTATATAGTAAAAGGGTAATATGCCTCCCAGCACTGGGATCAGCGGAGCCACAAGGCCTCCCGGCACTGGGATCAGCGTGACAGGGGGCAGTGCCCAAACCCCGATCGCCCTGCGGCTCTGTGTGTGACAGGGTGCGATGCCCCAACACCTGCCCCCCCCCACAGGCCCTGCTCTGTTTGTGATGGGGTAGAGCCACAATCTCCCCATCGTCCCTGCTCTGTAGGTGATAGAGGGCGGTGCCCCAACTCCCTGATGGGCCCTGCTCTGTGGGGGACAGGGGGAAATGCCCCAACCCCCTGATTGGCCCTGCTCTGTGCGTGACAGGGGGTGGCGCAGCACCCCCCCCATCGACCCTGCCTTGGGTGTGACAGGGGATGGTGCCCCAACCCCCCAATCAGCCATACCCTGAGTGTGACTGAGGGTGGAATCACAACCTCCCGATTGCCCTGCTCTGTGTATGACAGGGGGCGGCGCCCCAACTCCCCAATCGGCCCTGCTCTGAGCCCGACCAGGGGCTGCACCTAGAGATTTGGCCTGCCCTCTGCCACCCGGGAGCCGGCCTAAGCCAGCAGGTCGTTATCTCCCGAGGGGGCCCAGACTGCGAGAGGGCACAGGCCGGGCTGCGGGACCCCTCCTCCCCCCCGAGTGCACAAATTTTTGTGCACCAGGCCTCTAGTCCTATCTAATAAAAGGATAATATGCAAATTAATTGTAACTACATCACAAAGATGGCAGTGGCCATAGCCACAAGATAGCAGCGCCCAGTCCTCTCAGCCCCACCAAGTTCTCCCGTCCCAGTGGGTGGCCGCTGACAGAAGGCAGCGTGAGTGGTCTGGTGGAATGCTTGCTTCGTCACCACAGCAAGTACAATAAAAATTGGCTCCAAAACAGCCTGTTTCTTAGCGAGTCCGGGCAGGAGGGGGTCCTGAAAGCTCTTCTGCTGGCTGCTCAGGAAACAGTGCTGATGCCGCCATGGAAGCCATTGGGGAGGAGGCGGTAACCGCCAATGTGGATTTGGAGCCTCCAGGAGTGCAGGCCATCCACTGCTGCATCCAGTCCCTGAGGCATGCCCGACAGTATCGCAATGCCAACTGCCCGCAGCTGTCCTGCTAGAAGATGAGATGGGTTGTGCAGCACACCAAGGGCTGCCAACACAAGACCAATGGAGGTTGCGGAGTGTGCAAGCAGTTCATGGCCTTTTGCTGCTACCATGCCAAACACTGCCAAGAAAACACATGCCCCATTCCCTATTACCTCAACATGAAGCAGAAGCTCAGCCAGAAGATACAGCACCGCCGGCAGCACACGTAGCTCATGCGCCAGCGGATGCCACCATCAACACCCGCACTGTGCCTCAGCCAAGTCTGCCTTCCCCTCCTTCAGCACCACCCTGGCCCCCGTCACTGCATTCCAGCACACCCTGGACACCACAGCCCCCGACTCTGCCCCAGACCTCGCCTGTGAGCATGTCACTAGCCAGCTTTTCCAGTGTAGCTAATACACAGTCTCCACCAGTTTGCACTGGGAAGCCCACTAATCAGGTGTCAGACCCACCACACCCCGCCTGGCCCACCTGCAGTAGTGGAGGCACCCAGCAGATTGCACGTGAGGCACAGCAGCAGCAGCATCTGTACTGGGTGAGCACCAACAACAGTATGCCCCTGAGGTATAGTGACCCCTGAGAGCCAGATGGCCCCCATGCGCCTGAATGTGACCCAACCAGGTCAGTGGGCCTGTTATTCTGCCCCCTGAGCCCCAGCAGTGGCAGCCGGCACCCATCCCCCAGCAACAGTCAATGTGCGGCATGCCCAGACCCGTGATGTCTATGCAGACCCAAGGTGCAGCCACCTCAGAGCATCTCTCCAGGTGCCCTGCAGGACCTGCTGCGGACCCTGAAGTCTCCCGGCTCCCCCAGCAGCAGCACATGCTCAACATCCTTAAGTCAAACCCTCAGCTGATGGCAGCTCTCATCAAACAGCACATGGCCAACTAAGTGGCCAGCCAGCCCAGCCTTCAGCTCTAGCCCAGCCTGCTGAATCTGAACGCCATGCAAGCCAGTGGGCCACAACCTGCTGTCCCTCCGCAGCAGCAAGCAATGGGAGGCCTGAACCCCCAGGGTCAGGCCTTGAACATTATGAACCAGGGCACAACCCCAGCATGGTGAGTATAAGCCACAGTACAGAGAAATGCCACAGTACAACAGCAGCAACAGCAGCAACAACATTGCGGGAGGCATATCTGAGTGTCAATTGTGATGGGGTGTCACCTTCCCCTGATCGCCGGGTCGCCTCCCGCCCCTGAGTGCTCCCAGACTGTGAGAGGGGGCAGGCCAGGCTGAGGGACCCCCCTGCAGTGCATGAATTTTCATGCACTTGGCCTCTAGTATCTAAATAAAGCTACAAAAAACAAAAACCCTACTGCAGAGCAAATAAGGTGAACTAGTCTCATTTTTCCACACTCTGCAGCTTCAGTGTCTGTATTAAATAAAGAAGGCAGTCTTTAAAGCAGTGGTTCTCAACCTTCTGGCCCTTTAAATACAATTCCTCATGTGACCCAACCATAAAATTATTTTTGTTGCTACTTCATAGCTGTAATGTTGCTACTGTTATGAATCGTAATGTAAATATCTGATATGCAGGATGGTCTTAGGCGACCCCTGTGAAAGAGTCGTGGGTCTACAGGGCCTGCCCGCCCGCAAAGCAGCCTCTCTCACAGGTGAGTCCGACCCAAGAATGCCTTGCAGTTTCTGGCAGTCTTTAAAGCAGTGGTTCTCAACCTTCTGGCCCTTTAAATACAATTCCTCATGTGACCCAACCATAAAATTATTTTTGTTGCTACTTCATAGCTGTAATGTTGCTACTGTTATGAATCGTAATGTAAATATCTGATATGCAGGATGGTCTTAGGCGACCCCTGTGAAAGAGTCGTGGGGTCGCGACCCACATGTTGAGAACCACTGCTTTAAAGTACTGAAAGTAAAACAGTTACGATTAATCAGATGTGGAGGTAATTAAACATGTTCAGTTATTTTCTTTGCAAAGACATCAATCGAATCTCCACATGTGAAGAAGTCACAGTTCTATACCACAATATGCAGAGATGCTGCCAATCAAGATATTTTGAAGAAGGACTTGCTAGTTTAGCTATTTCTCACTTGAGCCCCTCAGTAAACAACCCCGTCACATGCGTCCAGGTGAAAGGATCCTTCTTCACAGGTATTTACTCTGAAAACTAACAACAGTGACTGAAGGGAAGTCAGCTCTACCAGGACTGAGAGTTGGCCTTGGTCGTGAAACTTCCCCCGCCCCCAAAAAAATAGCACCTGCCATAGAAAGTGCCACCTTCATAGACTTCAAGCACCAGTGCAAAGCTTCCTAACCCTCTCTCCAGGGCAACAGGTGAGAAAACAAATGGCACATTGCTGTGACATTTAACAAAAATAGGATCTGTCCTTCTGAACTAAAATGGCTGTTCAGAAATTCTTTAACTTTGCTCTGAAAATCTTAATGCAATACGTTCTTTTACAATGTATTTCTGAGCATGGTCTGCCAAGATAGGATGATCTTAAGGGTCAGGATAGAACTTGCTCTTGTGACCCAAGAGTTGTCACAGATCAACAAATTCATCAACAAATGTAACTCTCCTAACACCAGAAACATGTTTTCTTCGTCACATAATTATGCAGACTATGACTCAAAAATGTACATATCAGAGACATACAATCATTAGTCCCAAAGACACAAAGGAAATCTGATCAAAGAAACCCAAAAATACAGCTGGTCAATCTTTAGTTTGTACAAATCATCAATGTGCCAGGGGCCATACAGGGCTAGTGAATGGCGCACCTCAGAGGGCGTTGTTAGTACTGATCTCGGTGACTCCGAACTGTGCAATGCACAACCTGGGGAGCTGCACAGGTGGCTCTGAAATTAGCCAACTCAAAAAACACAGATTCAGAGTAAATACGTGAAAATGGAAAAGAAGAAAAAGGCAGACCCTGAAGGCAGGCCTTGGAAAACCCTAATTATCCACAGAGAAATTTTACATAGGAAATTCTGAAGAAAATGAAAAAAAAAATCACTAGACCTGACCTGGATGACTATTTTTAGAGCCTTCACCTTCTGGTCCGAGGCCCAGGCATCCTTCAGCGACTGGTTAAGCTCCTCTATGCGATTCACATAATCCTGCTGAGTCAAATTCAACAGTTCCTTTTGGGATCCCTGTGGGAAGCAAGCGAGAAAGTGTAAGCACAAAAGCAAAACAGTGTCCAACTTCCAACCCTGTGAACAGCACTGACTGAGCGTCGCTCTCTAATTTTCCTCATAAGCCCCCGTCCATTGATAGTTTTGTCTTATGAATAAACAGGTTCTTTACATTTTCTGCAAAGACAGGCAGAGTGCAGTGACTGAGAGACTAGCCTTGGAGGCCAGTCTGAGGTAGGCTAACTCCAAGCTCAGCCCATTCCTACCACGTGACTCTGGCTGAGCTGCTCTCCTCCCAGAGCCTCCTCTGCAGCCAGATAACACAGTTCTCAGCGCCCACGGTGTGCCAGGCATGGTGTGCCAGATGTTCAAGATGCAAATGTAAGCAGAAAGACATTATTTCTGCACTAACGGAGTTTAAGGTAGAGGACAAGATGGACATTAATACAAACTGAAATAAATGCTTGGGAGGAAATGACAGCTCACTGAACCTGCGGTGCCCACTATAAGAAGTACGACTGTTCCCTGTGCCACTAAGGACAAGACTGCAGGTCACCGACATGTACGAATTGAGACACGGTCTAATTTCAGGGGCATTCAAAGAAAAGGTTCATCTCAGAATGGAAGATGTATGGTAACCGGAATGCACTCCAGACGGGCGGTCACAGATGGTTTCCTGGAGGAAGCAATGCTTGAGAAGAGTTTAGTACTGAGCAGGCAGGGGGGTGTTAGAGCTCTCAGTGGTGTACATGTACTGAGCAGGCCAGGGGGTGGGGGGTGAGAAGGGGTGTTACAGCAGAGAGAGCTCTCAGTGGTGTAGGGGGGACTGTGGCGAGGGGTGTGGGGGGGTGTTAGAGCAGAGAGGGTACCAGGACAGAACAGACCACAGCAAGCATCTGTGCAGAGCAAGGCCACCATGTGGATGCATGAACGGTGTGGAAACTAGCACAGCCCCTGGTAGTGTGTGCTCAGTCATCCTTGTCTATAGATGAAAAGTTCTAAGCTCACAGGGGTCAGGGTCACTCTAGCCCACAGGCTGAGATCAGGAACCACATATTTTTTATATGAATGTCCCCTGGAAACCAGTGAACACTGTTAAAGAAATACACACAGAAGGTTCAGGAAACTGGGACTAAGCCCACTGGTCATTTGACTCTGAGATAGGGCCCTCCCTTGCCCTTTTGCAGTAGGAGGAGCCATGTGACTAGTTTGGGCAAATGGGCTGTGAACAGAGGGGCATGTGTCCCTTTTGGGCTGAGGCAGTAAAAAGGGACCCTCTATTCAGCTTGGCAGGAAGCTCTCTGTTGCGATGGCAGCACCAGGAGATGGTGTCTGGCAATGCACTGGGTGAGTCATGTTTTCTGAGCACATGCAAGACCGGCAGAGGGCCACGCAGTCTCTGCAGCAAGGCAGGACCTTGGTCCTGCATTACCTCGGAGATGGCTCCGTGGGTGCAAAGTGAGACCTGTTCTAGATGACCTGGGCTTGCTCAGGCATCGCAGTGAGAACAGACAATTTAGAAGGCCAGCCTGAGCCTGAGCAGCTCCTGGGCCTCTTTCCCGGATCAGTGGTGCCTGAGGAGGCACAATGCACAGCTCGAGAATTAATCAGAGCAACCACCAGAGAGAGCTCCCTGGGCAAAAGAAAGAGAAGACCACATGGCCCTGTGCTCAGCAATGACCTGCTTACCTCCTCAAAGTCATCCAGCTCTTCCAGCCTGGTCCGAACCTTCTCCGACACTGCGAACGCGGCAGGCCCGGCTCTGCCTAAATGACATGGACTCTGTCACATGGGGGATTTCCTGTCACCAACCCCCCCACCGGAGGCATATTTGACTTTACACTTCAGCGGCAACATCCTTCCCTAATCACGGCCCATCAGAAACATTTCTGCCTTAAAGCTACCCCTGGGAGTGGAGGACCAGCATCAAAAAGCACCTACTATGTTCCATCACTTATTCCTAAAGAAAGGCGGTCCAAACAAAGATGCCCAACATCCACCACTGAATTGTTCTCCAAGAACAAGGCCTCTCAGGCTTCACGCGTGTAGACTCTTGTGCCCTTACACTAACTAAACAACCACCTCGCTATCTGCCGGGAAACGGAAATGCTGGGGCTCCAAAGCCCTCTTGAGGAAACACGACAGTGAAGTCCTTTCCATCGCAGGGACAGGTGGACAGATTAAGGAAACACTTCAGGCCACGGGCCACCTGCGGGGCTCAGCGGCCTGTCCAGCTGGCTGTTGCTCTCCAGCACCTCCTATTTCAGAGCCTTTCTCATTCTCATGGGGCATCTGTTCTAGATCGAGGGCCCTTTGCTCCTGCTACCAGACTCCCTTCAGGAGCTAGAAGTTATTCTTCTGAGCTCTGGTGCTCGCTCCGATTTGTCTGGGATCACTGAGAGCATGGTACTATTAGTTCAATACTAACAACTACTAAAGTCAGAAGTTTCTAAATAATTTGCTTTTTTTAAAACCCTTTTCTACTATTTCCTTCATTCTGAAATATACTATATACAGAACTGTGCACATGTACATTTTAATAGATATTATTAAACATTTGTAACCACCACTGAGTTCACTCCTTTTCACTGCTCCACTCTGTGAGGACAACACAATTTTCCCTACTCTACTGTCCATGGTGCTTGTTTCCTGTAGGGGCCACTCTGAACTATGCTGCCAGGACTATTGCTGTGCTGTCTCCTGCTCATGTGTGCATGCATTTCCTCCAGGCAGGAATCACTCAGGATGTGTTAGCATTCAGATTCTATTTCCAGGAGATCTGGCAGGGCTACGACTGCATTTCTGATGGGCTCCCAGTCACCTGTGGTCCGAGGACCACACTTCAAAAATGCAGATGTGGGCAGAGTTAGAAAAACGCTCTGTGAAGAGCCAGACATACAATTCTAGGTTTTGTGAGTCGTACAGTCTCTGTACACTACTCAACTCTGCCATTATAACATAAAAGCAGTCACAATCTGTAAACCAATTGGCATAGCTGTGTTTCCATAAAACTTCATTTACAAAACCAAACACTGGGCCAGATTTGGCCTGCAAGACGTGCTCTGATTTCTGATATAGGGTACATTCTAGTAGTAGAAATTCTGGGTCAAGGAGTTGGCCCACCTCCCATTTTAATAGGTAATACAAAAGTACTTTACACAGTGGATAACGTCAGAGTCCCTGTGGCTCACATTCTCACCACAGGAGATATCAGCAATCTTTTTTGTTTTTCCAAACTGTTGGATATGCAATGCTATGATTTACTTCTTTATGGTTTGGGGTCAAAGTTATGTCGATAGCAAAGGTGTTTTACTCTCCTGATTCCCAATGTGCTGTCTCAACCTGCAGAGAATGGGAGAGAGCTGCAGCTGCCACACTGGCAATTTACACGTAACACAAGGCCAAGAGCACCTACACCCAGAGGAACACCATCTGTCAATCATTTCAGAATCGCCGGGGGCTTCATAGAAGAAATCCTGGACCCGTTCCTCAGGATTAGGTCAACAGCACAGTGGGGCCAGCGGCCTGTGTTGTATGAAGCCTCGGATGACCCTGCTGCACAGCTGGTTTGAGAACCCTGGGCTGGAGCTTCCAACCACACGTCTCAGCAAAGGAAACTGAGACGTGCTGTGTCAGGGACCAGTGGCCAGTGCGTCTGAGTGCGGGCTCCCCTAACCAGAGACTCTGCGTTTTACATGGGAGAGACTACTGCTCTGTAACCCTGAAAGCAAGCAGTGGGCCCATGTCTTACTCCATGTAACTCTTTGGTCTTTTCTTCCATTCATCATCTAAATATGTATTTCAATTCTACTAAGTCTATGTGTAATCTAGGAAATAATAGCTTCAGTTGAATTGGATAACAAACTTTTTTTTTCTTTTGTGAAATTATATTCAAGTTAATGAGAGAATTCCCATCAGAATAATAACAACAAAAACTCACCTTTTTCAGAGCCCATAAACAGATTCTGCAGAGGCAAAAAAAAAAAAAATTTGTTAATAATTTTTAAATCGTACTGGGTTACATGACCAAAAAAAACCACACCTGTAAGCTACTTAAATTAGTACTCAAGTAACACTAAGACAATAAGACCCATCATTTTCCAACAAATCCATTTATTTGTTCAAATGAAAATTAGAAATAATTACTAAGACAATGAAAATATACCTAAGTAAAGACTACTGGCAATTGTAATTTCTATTCAATTCACGTCTCTCTCGAAGTGAGGAACAAATAGCAAAATTTTGAGGGCATTGGAGTCACGTGACAGCACTTAGCCTACTTGACATCAGGGTCCACAACCTCGGCACTGATGACATCAAGGGCTGAAAAATTTTGTTGTGGGCGCCCCGTGCACTGTGGGATGTTCAGCAGCACCCCTGGTCTCCACCTACTCGATGCCAATTGCACCCTCACAGTGTGACAACAAAGTCTCCAGACAATGCAGCATGTCCCCAGGGGGTTAATATCCCTCCCAAACGTGAGTCAATGCTCTAAGTGAAATGAATGCACATAGAAAATAAGAAAAAAATTTAACAGTCCAACAGTTCTCCCTGCCATTCTGCTCAACAAGAACACGCCCTGAGAGAAGGAAGAGCACAGCGCCATCTGAGTTGCCTACCAAGGTCTCGCTTTCCTTCCTGCTCACAGGTGGAGTTTTGGTGGGCACAATGTCACATTTCCCAGCTTCCCTTGTATCTGCACACAGCCGGTGGCTAGCTTCCAGACAAATTAACTGGATGTGTTGAGAGGGACTCTGGGAAGTCTCTAAATGCGAGAGGGTACATCCTACTTTCCCTTTTCCTCCTTCTTACAACTTGAACAAGAGGTGACACTGAGCCCATAACCTGAGGGATCGGATCCATGTCTGGGTAGATGGTGTCAGATTGAGAAGAACTGTAGGATCCCCAGCTGGTGGCGTAGAATTGCTTGGTGCGGGGAGAAACCCACACACTGAAGTTGGGTGGAGACCCACAACAAAAAGAAATGACTACTCCATCTGAGGGAGACCCTGGGGCCAGTCACGGCACTTACGATGGAGAGCTTCTCCGTGGTCGTGTACCGGGCAAGGATTTCTCCTCGCTTGCTGGTCCAAGGCTCAAAATCCAATCCTACAACGGAGTTCTGGTCTCTATCACCTTTCTTCCTGGAGCTGTCCTAAGGAAAGACAAGACAGCCTCTTCAATGCCAACATAATTTTATTCTAAAAATTAAAAAGTATAAGCAAACACACTGACTAAGCATGGTTGTATAACTGAAATTTGTTAAGAGAACTTAAATATTGTCATGAAAAAGGGTAAATAGTGAGGTGCTGGATGTGTTAAATAACCTGATGGGGGATCCTTTCACAGTGTAAATGCATATCAGTCATCACATCGTATACTTTCAATAACTTACAATTTTGTCAATTATACCTTATTGTTTTTTAAAAAGTATAAGAAGGAACTCAGTGGAGCTCAGTGGTTAGAATGTCAGCCCATGCACTGAAGGCAAGGGCATATACCTGAGTGGCAGGTTCAATCCCTAGCCCCAGTCAGGGCATGTGCAGAAGGCCACCAATCAATGTGTCCCTCTCTCATGGATGTTCCTCTCCCTCTCTCTCTCTATCCCCCTTCCACTCTCTCTAAATATCAATGGAAAAAAAATTTAAAAGGCAGCCAGTACCTCACTGTAAAATAAAATACATATACCAAAAGGTTTGCTATGATAAAAAGAAAAAAAAAAATTTAGGGCAATGCACCAAAAATGACCAATAAGCATATCAAAAGATGCTAAAACTCATTAAAAATCAAGAAAAGGCCTTGGCCGGAGTGCTAAGTGGTTAGAGCTTTGGCCTGAGCACCTAAGAGTCTTCGGTTCCATTCCAGTCCTTGACCTGGTCAGGGCTTGGGCATGGCTTGTGCGGGAGGCAACTGGTGGATGTTTGTCTCTCTTATTTTCTCTCTCTCTCTCTCTTCTTCCCACCCTCTCTTCCATTGTCTCTGAAAAGCAATGGAAAACATATCCTCAGGTGAGGATTACCAAAAAATAAAAGAATCAAGAAAAGGCAAACTGAACAAGATAATTTTTCAACTATCAGAATGGCAAAGAGTTAACATGACTAATATTCAGGTCGGCAAGGGTACAAAGAGACAGACACTCTGAAATACTGCTGGTAGGAGTACACACTGGTGAAGCCCTTCTGGGGAACAATTTGGCAATAGCCATCAAACCGTAACTACACATTGCCTTAAGTCAGTAATGAACTTCTAGGAAGCTATCCTGCACACCCTCTGCATGCCTGCATGTAGGCACAAAGCGTATACATGTTCAAGGACCAAGGCACCACCATCTGTACCAGTAAACACCAGAAACCGTCTGTGTATGTCAGAGGGGGAATGAAGAAATAAACTGTGTTATACCCATTCTTTAGAATATAATATAACCATTCAAAATAAGAAGGATGTTCTAAAGGTACTAACATAGAAAGTTCTCCAAGACATCATGTCATGTTAAAAATAATGTATAAATGTAGTACAAACTACGTTTTAAAAAAGTAAATAAATGTATGAATGCCAGCATAGAATGAAGGCTAAGAGTGTGGACTCTGCAATCAGACTGGCCAGTTGGACTTCCAGCTCAGATGTGATGTAGAATCTCTATTCCTCTGCGTGGGCCTCTGTAAGTAGGAATTATAAGACCTCCCTCTTGAGGTGATATGAGAACTAAACTTAGAATGCACCTAGAAAGGCCTGCCATATAGGAAGGTGATACTGTTATTGTTGCTATCCTATATAATAAAGTGGCAATATGCAAATTGACCCTCATTCGGTCATGCCATCACAAGATGGTTGTGCCCACAGCGGAGGCAGGGTTCCCGTAACACAAATGGCTGCGCCCACAGCAGAGGTTCCCATATTGAGCCTTAACAAGTGATCAACAGGGACCTGAGGCTGTGTGGCGCCGAGCCTGGGCTGGGGACCTCAGGCTGCGCCCTCCGCCCGGCGGGGCTTGACGGGGGACCTCAGGCCATGCCCCGACCCCAGGCCAGGGGACCTGAGGCTAGGCTCCCCACCCGATGGGGCTTGACGGGGGTAGGGACAGTCAGGTCCGGTCCCCCCCATGTGGGTGGGGCCAGTCGCACGCCGGTGGGCAGGGACTTGACTCTGGATCCCACGGTGCACTCCAGACTCTGACAGGAGGAAAATTTTCATATACATTTTACTAATTTTCTTTCATCTCTGACACTTCTATTATAGAGAAAGGACAAATAGCAGTATTAAAATATTTTCTCTAATTAATTCCCTTTTAATGTGCATGAATTTCTTGCACCAGGCCACTAGTTTATATATAAGTATGATGTATGTAAATGCTCAGACATTACTGTCATAAATATCTATGAAACTACAAAGGAAGTTACAGGAGAATATACCTTACACAGATAACACTGATGACCTCCGAGGAGATGAACAGAATGAGGGGAATTGGTTAACAGGATTTCATTTGTAGTGTTTGACTTTTTATATGAAAAACTAATTGAATTAACTACATAATTACACAAGGATAAATTTTCCAAAAAGGATTATAAAAAGAGTAAAATGAAAATGAAGAAAGCATTTTAAAATGCTTTAAAAAAGAAAAGAAAATCTTCATGATCTGCGCCAGCTTCTCACTGTCAGGGCCACCTGCTATACAAGCTGCACTCTGTGCATATCTGAATTCTGTGAATTGTTACAACCAGAAAGCACCCATGCGGTTTAAAAAGAAAACCATGAAAACCTCATCCCTGTACCCACAGGCCCAACCACCAGAAAGACGACTGCCAGGAGAATACGGTACCTTGACAGCTGCCGTGGCCACGGGGTCAGCACTGGCTGCAAACACAGAGAGGGGATCGGTTCCATCCAGCACACTGCTTAGCGGGTCCACCACGGAGCTGGAGGATGAGGACGTGGAAGAGGTGCTTCCCTTCCGGCTCACCTTCTTAGTCTTGGACTCTGTGACCTGTGGGAACAGTCATGGTGGTGAGATGGAATCTCCTCCAACTCTTCCCCTGAAACAATTGAAAGGGATGTCCCTCCTTCCCACAGCTGACAATGTCTTTGCCTCAGGATCTCTTATTCTGTGATACACTGAAATGATTCAGAATCCCAGTCACGGAAGGAAAGGGGACCTCCAGGTCAGGAAGGAAGAGGCAGGACCCTTGTGGTTAGAAGGTGGTGATGTAACATTCCTGTAGGGCCTTCAAGTCAGAGTGCAGTCCTTGAACAGCAATAGCCACATCACCTGGAAGCTTATAGAAAATGCAGGATCTCAAGCCAGTCTAAATCTCCTGCATGAAAATGTGCGTGTTACAGCAAAGGTCGAGGTAGGGTGATGACCAGGGCATGCATGCTCCCAGGGTCACCAACCTCCGGGGACATTGTCCATGGCTCAGTACCGCTATCCCATCATTGCAAAGTAGTGACTGCCAACGCCTTCCTTTCTGGAGAACGTCTCCCAATGCCAGGCCTGGTTTTCAATACAGAGCCATGTTTGTGTTCCACAGGTCCCCGTCCCTCCCCAGCTGCAGATGATTGGTCCAGGGAAACCTCTGAGCCAAAAGGATCCAATTAGAGACTCTGCTAAAAAGAGAGAGCAACATCCAGGAGGGCTAGTTAGGCTCCACTCCATTTTATTTTTTAAATCTTTACTGAAAGTATTATGTATGTCCTGTTTTTCCCCCCATTGACCTCTTCTACCCACCCTGGTCCCTGCCCTAGCCCTTCACTACCCTACTGTCTGTATCCATGGGTTACACATAGATGCATACAAGTTCTTTGGTTGACCTCTTCCCGCCAATCCACCCTCCCCCACCTGCCCTCTGAGGTTCCCCAATCTATTCAATGCTGCTATGTCTCTGGATCTATTTTGTTCATTAGATTCCATATGAGTGAGATCATGTAATACTAGTCTTTCTCTCGCTGACAGATTTAACTTAGCATAATACTCTCTAGGTCCCTCCATGCTGTCTCAAAGGGTAAGAGATCCCTCCTTTTTACTGCTGCATAGTGTAAATGGTGTAAATGTGCACAGCTTTTTATCCACTGATCTAGTGATGGGCATTTGGGCTGTTTCCATATCTTAGCTATTGTAAATTGTGCCGCTATAAACACAGGGGTGCATACATTCTTTCTGAATGGAGTTTCTGATTTCTTGAGATATATTCCCAGAAGTGGGATCACTGGGTCAAATGGCAGTTTCATTTTTAATTTCTTGAGGAAACTCCATACTGGTTTCGACACTGGCTGTACCAGTCAGCATTCCTACCAGTAGTGTACTAGTACTAGGGTCACTTTTCTCCACATCGTCACCAATAGTTCTTTGTTATGACAGTCATTCTGACTGGTGTGATACCTCAGTTGTCATTTTGATTTGCATATCTCAGATGATTAGTGACTTTGAGCATTTCTTCATATGTCTCTTGACCATCTGTGCGTCCACTTTGGAGAAGAATCTCCTTAGTTCCTTTGCCCATTTTTTTTTTTATTGCTTCAAGTATTACAAAGGGAATTACATATGTGTCCATTTTTTCCCCCTGCCCTAGACAGTCCCCTAGCCTCCCCAATCCCCCAGTGTCTTATGTCCATTGGTTATGCTTATATGCATGCATATAAGTCCTTCGGTTGAATTCTTACCCCCGCTTCTGCCC